CCAGCGCTGCTCTCCTGCTCTTCAAGAGGGAAAAGTAACTTCAGTCCGCGAAACCATCCCGGGGTTGCGCTCGAAGAAGGGGACGAGTAACCCCGATAGCACAGTTTTTCAGGTGCGAGCTGGATCAGTTGCCGATATATCTCCTCCGTGTGTCATTTCAGTGTGAAAAGCCACACATCTCTCCGGCCCGGTCACCCCCGCTACTTTTCCGATACGTGACGGGGATCAGGGGAGAAGGGGGGTGGGGGGGAGAAGAAGACGTGAGAGGAGAGGAGAGAACTGACATGTTGCCTGCTACAGTCTTGTTGTGTTAACTATTTTTCGCAGGGCAAGCTACTACTACTCTGTCGGTTGTGCGTTGCACTGTCTTGCTGCTATACTACCAGGACATGGCTACTAGCTATTTAATCAAGAATTGGGTAGCGCCGATAGTTGATCAAGATTTTAAGTGAGTTGGGAGAAGGGGGGGGGCCGTGAAAGGCCCACGATAGTCTTGATTTTATAGGCCCGCTATGTCGGACAATGTGTCGTTGATCGACGCGATAAAGTTGGTGGCCAAGGCCACCCGAGAAGACACCAACAAGGTGTCGGATATGGTCAAAGGAGCTCTGCGTCCAGAGCAGATAGATGATATTCGCCTCATGCTGTCAAGCGGCTACGACTTCGGTCGGTTCGGCGGCTACAGCCTCTGGCTGCTGCTCCTGCGCAGCGCGATACCTCCTTGCACCGCCGTGCCTGGAAGGGGGCCTGCAAGGCCACCGCTAGCGGGTCGAGAGGCCTGCTAGCAGGCCACCTCCGCCAGCTGGTCGGCGGGCTAGGACGCCACGCCCGACACTATTTTCCACCGATGAAGAGGAGGTTATGACACCGAGGACGCGCAGTCTTCATGACGCCCAGGTGTCGCTACATCGTCAGCAGCAACAGCTGGACGAACGCTACCAGCGAGAGTCCCAGAAGCTGGCGCAAGCCGTGGAGGAGGACCTGGTCAATCGATTCAGGTCCTCGCTAAGGGCGGTGCCCGCTACTGCTGAGGAAGAGGCTCGACTGCTTCTTCGTCCACCGCTACCACAACAAATGGGGCTACAATGCCCCCCGCCGCTACTCGACCCTGGCAGCCGGAGAGCCTGCCGCTAACGAGCTCGCTTCGTCGGCGCGCTAGGATTGACTATCCGCCAACACCGAGCCTCTGTTCAAGTGTGTCCCGCTATTTTTATGTAGATGAGCAGGGCAGAGCCGATATGAGCTGGCTCACGGTCAAGAAGACCGCTACGGCCGGGGCGATATCCTGGATGAAGTGGATCCAAAGGATCCGCTATTTGACCCGCGGAGGTTCATTCCGAACTTCGGGTCGATAATTTTCGAGGAAGGCCTCACCGGCAGGGGCCGCTCTGATAGAACGAAATTTTCCGTTGTATCGTTAGATGCCCGCACTGCCCGTGCAACCGCAGGATGTGGTATGCACTCGATAACCACCCCCAGCATTATTGCAGGAGGTGCCAGCAAGAGCTGGGGCTAGGGTTCAGCCAGACTGGTCCCGATATGTATCCTATCCTCCGCTAACCTCCTTTGTTTTGGATAGATACGCTAGGTACAGCTACAGATGTCTTTTGCGAGAAAAAGAGCGGACAGGACATAGTCCGATATTTCACTGTCGTACCAGCTAGGGCCGCGGAGCCAGCTAGAGTTGGGAGGGGCGCAGACCCCGGGGTGGGGATGACAGGGGGTCCCCAATGCCAAAGGTTCGGGGACCGCTATTTCTAAACGCCCCAGCCAAGTGCGCAACGCACGGCTAGTGGTCAGATGTGCAATCTCTTTTTCAGTGCATGTTGCTAGAGTGAGAGATAGAAGACAGAAGGGTTGCAAGCGCAGTCTCGCTATCACCGGGTGGCGCGATCATGGGAAGCAACTTCTTACTTCCCGCTAAGGGGCCTGCAGGCCTGCGCCGCATCAGCCAGATAACTGCTTGCGAAGCAAGCGGATAGCTACGCACTGCTATTGAAAATCTCCCGTTTTTTGGACAGCTTGTCTTACTAGTTTTCCCGCTACTAGTTATTTAGACATGTCCAGCCGGCTCGGGGCAAGACAAAGCTGCCCGATACGAACCAGAGCACATCTGCAAGTTTGGGCGCTAGATTTTGCATCAAGCTTGTGATTGTTTTTGTGTTGGGGAGCCAGAGGCGTTATGGCAGAGCCCCCCCTACCGCAGAAGCTCGAGTTGGGAGCCTCGGACCTGAGGCTTGTTTTGGCGGCTGTGATGCCGGTGGAGCTGTCGCTCCAAAGGCGTGGGAGCCGAGTTGGCCGATATCACGGCGGACCTGTTTAAAAATACAAAGATTACCTCCTGGGCGATTACGTCTATGGGCTAAGGTCCGCCGATACCGTCGGGTCCATGATCCCACCATGGACGCTAGTGCTCGGATATGAGCGCACTATTCGCAAATTCGCTAACAAGTTGGTGGCTACAAGTTCGGGGAGGCCCTCAAGAAGGCGTGGAAGG